TTTGCGATCTCCAGCAGTTTTTTTTACTCATTTTGCGAGCTCCGGTGTTTGTTTTTAGCCTAATTGGTCGCGTTACGGAGAAGCGTGGCTTGACGTGTGTCAAGCTGGACACAGACGGATGTAACGGAGAATCCGGTAAGTTTTCAAAATAAAACATCTTTCGTATTCCGAAATAAATAAAACGGAATTAAGGCAAGTTCTTTCTGTGCGGCCCGGTACCAAATGCCCGGCGGACCGGTACCGGTCGGCGGACCGGCGGTTGGGGACCCCTGCTTTAAACGAACAAAGCGCACGAGGGGAGAATGGTTTTATGTTATTGTCGTGTTATCAAATGAGGCACACGTGAGTCCAGCTGTCGTGTTAACGTGGATAATTTATATTTAGCTTTGACGATGCGGGTATGCCTCTCTCCAGTCACTCTCTCGTCTCCCGCTCTCGACGCACACTCCTGACATAGTCGCCCCGCGACTCTGTAGTCATGTTGTACACGATTACACCACAGTTGTGTTGCGTTTATTATTTATTTTATGTTCACTGTTTTGTTAAGCGATTTGTTACAGCTGCCGCTGTTGTGAAAGCGCTATATCAATCAGCATGTATTGTATTGTATTGCATGTACGAAATGGGAAAACACTCGATAAATCAGAATGCATTGTATTTGTAAGTTGAGGGTTTCGTTGTTTTTAGTGGATAGCTTTACTTTACTAAACAAAAGGAGAGATGAAATCCTTAAATGCAGTTTATTAAAGGGGGGGGGGGTGTGCACCTCCGAACGGATGAACGAGAACACACCTTTTTCCGGTAACACAAACACTTCCTGGTTTCCTTCAGCCAATCAGACAATATCAACATAAACTTGTTTAAGCAATTATTAAACGGAATATAACCTAGGTAACTAACACAAAAGAATATAATGCTCAAATATAAAATGATCATAATTAATAATTTAACATAAGCTTACATTTGTATAATGACAACATTGTCTTACATTCTCGCTGTAAAATCTGCACTTGCGTGTTTTGCCTCTCGTCCACTATCTGGAGAAAAGTTGCCTTGTTCTGAGACGAGTCCGTTAGTGATACAAATACAAGTTGGAGTGGATGAACAGTTTCTGCGAAGCTTTGAATAACAGAATGGATTCACACGTATTTATAACGTCAAGAGGGAGGTCCCGAAAAACAAGGTGTGACGTCAGAACTTTGGTTTTTCCCCCGGTGTCAAACATACAGCCCGCGGGCCGCGGCTGGCCCCCAAGGAGGTTCGATCAGGATCGCAGGATAATTTCAAAGTCAAAAAATGCAACAAACCTCAATCTATCACTGAGGCAGACAGAACACAGCCGACGCTATCAAGGACATGTGAATACTTTATTCTTGACACATGTAATAGCGCTCTCCTTCGTTTGTAAAGTGCAGGCAGGGATTACATTTAGACTCCATATGCACATGTGTAAATGGTTTAAAAAATCCTTTCCTTGTAAATCTCGTTTAATATTCAATTGCATGACTATATTTTTCAACAGCAATTACTTGTTCAAGTCTTGTGCCTTTGTGCAATCAGTGAGATCAGTTGCATCGTACATGTGAATGATCAAAGTAAATTGCACATTTGTCTCATAAGGAAACCTAAGGAGCTTCACGAAATGTTTTGTAAAAGATATGTTCATTACATTTCAACATTTTCCTATTCTTATTGTGCTTCTTTAGACCAAAAAAAAAAAAAAAGGAAAGAAATATTATTTTGGTTCTTCATAGCAGAGTATGGTATAATTTTCATGGTTTTCATGTGTGTGCGGGTGTACATACTGTTCACCTGTTGGGTGGCGGTGCACATGACTGATTTATTGCACATATTTGTTATCCGGTGGCCCAGTGGGCCAGTGGTTAGTGCATCGACCTCACAGTGCAGAGGTCGTGGGTTCAATCCCCGCTTCAGCCTCCCCGTGTGGAGTTTGCATGCTCTCCCCGGGCCTGCGTGGGTTTCCCCACATTGCAAAAACATGCACGGCAGGCTGATTGAACACTCCAAATTGTCCCTACGTGTGAGTGTGAATGGCTGGTCGTCTCTGCGATTAGCTGGCAACCAGTTCAGGGTGTCCCTCTCCTACTGGCCGAAGACGGCTGGGATCGGCTCTGGTACCCCCCGTGACCCTCGTGAGGATAAAGCGGATCGGAAAATGAATGAATGAATATTTGTTGTCCACAACTTGCATTGGCCTCGCTGCAGTTGTGAAGATTGATGTGTGAAGCATATTATTACAATGGACGCGACAGCTTCTTGTTGACTTTGAAACGTCGCTTGGAGCCGACGTGTGCACATTTTGAGCAAGACGTCGGCCATCCACATAAGTGAAAGGACACTTTGTCTCCTCTTTCATGTTCAACTGCTTCAAACAACAAAGCGTATAAAGGGGAAAGATTTCCCGATGTCATGCGTTGTGTTTATGATTTGACTTGACACTGTTTTGTTCAGTGCTTTGTGACAGCCGCAGCTGTTGTGAAAACGCGATCTGAATCAGGACGTATTGTAGCGTACTTGGAGTAATTCCACACTTGTTCATCACGTTTGGTTAACACGTAACCAAGGGCGTCGTCAGAAAGAATATAATCATTCTCGTCTCTCATTCGATGTTTTAAAAGTATGATCTTGGTGTCTGTTGCTGGATTTGGCAGTTGAGAGACGACAGTCCAGGAAGTACACAATGGCCGGCAAGGAAGTCACTTTGGGCGATGGAACCAGGTCTGCTTTTCGGGCTTGCAGGCGTAGCAATGCCGTTGCTTAGCTTTAATTGCCGTCATGGACGTTTTGATCTTATCTGAAACAAAGTAACACAAAACAAGAATGGACATTCAGTGCGAGGTCTGTTTGGAATTGATTTGAGTGATACCTGAATTTATTTACTTTGTATGTGTGGCTGAAAATGTTCACAATTATTTGCACATAATTATTTGTTCTTTTGCGGGTATGAGAAACATTTTCTTGAATTAAAAAAAAAAAAAA